TATTGTTGCATTGAATGAAACCTTCTCCCACAAACCACGGCTGGAAATTATTGAATTTCCGACCACCTGAAAGTAATCTTAAATCAATTCAAAAGCAAAAAGTGGTCGAAAATAGTAACAAAGATTTTTCCGAATATCAAAAGTGATCGGAACAAGGCTTTCGACTTGATTTAAGATCACTTTCAAGTGGTAAGGGATTTCAAAATTTCCAGTAGTGAAGAAAACATACATTATTATTATTAACTACAAATAAAAAAGATACATTAAATCACCCAGTAGTCCTGTCATGTCCTATTATCTCTTTTGAAATAATATTGGCTAGATTAGATTATCCAATTCAAAGTTAACAAGCTAATAATAATCAGATATGGCGTTGAAGGTGTATATTATCACTAAAAAGCAATCATCACAGCAGGCAGGCATGGGCTTATTCAACGTAACCTCTTTTGCACCGTACCCATCATGAAACTCCTTAATTGCTCACATCTTTTATGCCCACCGTACCGATGCGGCAATCTTAACCAACAAGGTCACCTTAACTCAAGCAGCTGCAGCGGATTTTTAATTTGCACATTGCACCTCCAGGACTTGCGTCCTTCTTACACTCAGTTTCTTTAGATTCTTATTAGGTGTGGGGATTGGCAGCGATTACCCTCTCTCCGCCACCAGAACTATGGCTGGAGGTTAGTACGATCCTGTTGTCACATTATAGATTGCATGTGGCATATTTAATCTAAGGAGCTCGACTAAGATGATATATGGCCGTTTACGCCATCATTATGTGACCCACCAACCTCTCAAAGCGCAGTCTCCATATTCCGATGTTGGCTGGCTTGGCCTGGACGATTGTTCTGATGTTAGGTGTGACAATTTATGCCATGGAGATGGGGGAGAGAAAGAAGCTTTAATGTGTAGAGTAATTGACATATATAATCTTATGGTAAAAGAGTTTATTAACAAAATTTGTAATTATATAATTTTAAGGACTAAATGTGTCACACTATAGACAATTTGATGACTAAATTTGTTCAAATCAATTAATAGGGGTCAAATTTTTAAAAGTGAAATAATTTAGGGGCCAAACGTGTCTTTTTTTTTTTTTTTTAAATTTAAAAAAAAAAAAAAAAAAAAAGGAAAAATGACACTTTTTCTCCCTGAGTTATATACTTATATACCTATAGTATTTTTTCCCCCTAAATTATTGAAGTGACTATTTTTCCCCTGAAATGTTAAATGGACATATTTACCCTTAAACTAAATATTTAATTTATTTTTTTTCTCCAACAAATTATGACCATAATTTGGTTCAAACTAAACAAACACTATAGCAACCAAACCGAAATATTTCAATTACAATTTAGAATCGAAATTCGATATTTAGAGTTTATTAAAATCGTGAACCGGAACGGACGGTTCATGTTCCGAACTGAAAAAATAAAATACATTTATTATTGAATTTAGACTATTTTAAAATAAAAAATAAAATTTTAAAATAAAGACGGTTCAAAATCGCGAATCAGATCCGGAATCGCCGGTTCACGGTTCAAGATTAAATTTTTTTGATACATAATTTTAATAAATTGACATTTAAATATTGGGTTCTAGATCTGAATTATAACCATAAACTATTAATTCGATTGCTTTAGTATCCGGTTCAATTCAAACCGAACCGTGGTCATCCCTACGTATACGCAATAATTTGTTGGAGTAGTAAAATAAATAAAATGTTTACTTTAAGGGTATAAATGTCAATTTAATATATTAGGGGGAAAAAACACCACTTTTAGAATAATTGAGGGGACTAATGTGCTTACCTAAATAATTGAGGGGGAAAAAGTGCTATAAGTATATAACTCAGGGATAAAAATTGCCATTTTCCCAAAAAAAATGAAAAGACTGTTGACCTTCTAGAATTCAAGGAAGATTTGTAGAAGCCGATATAGAAGGAAATGGTACGGATTATCGGATTATGTAATGTGGGCAGACCAAATCTCACGTGATAGTGGACAAATAATTTATCAATTTTAATTTTTTTTTTATTGAATAAAGAGTAATTCCTTAGTCATTTCTTATTTATGTTTTGTTCATGTATGATGTATTATCGCGAGATTAGGGATAATGTTTAGTGGACAAAATTTTCTGAAATAAAAGTAAACAAAACTTTAAATCAAATGGGAGCTCATGGGTTTGAGCCACAATGAGGTGGTGTTAATTCTTTGTGCTTCACTAGGTTGAGAAAGTAGTAATGCACAGATACTACATCGTAATAGAATTAATAGTATTCAAAAAAAAGTTATTAATTTTTTGAGAAAATGGTCAAATAAAGGTTAGAGGATACTTACCTTGTAGACTAATCTGGAATTACTGCAAGTATGAACTATGGACCTCTCAAGTCTCTCAGGTAGAATCTCAAAGTTGATTGGAACTCTAGAAGTGATACGGAAAGTTTTATTTGACTCTATAATAATGTAGTATCTGTTTATAACTACTTTCTCAATCAATTGAAGCACAAAAAGTCAATATCACCTCCACTAAGGCTCAATCCCACAACCTCCCACTTAAGGGGGTAACTTGGTGCCATTGGATCACAAGAAAAGTGAAACGGAAAGTTAAAATTAGAAATACACAAAACTTTAGTTTTGTAGCATTGCTTTGAAGACTTTAACAGAGTATACAAAAATCAGGAAAAAGATAGTACAATTACAACACATGAACAAAAGACAATAAGCCAATATATCCATAGGCCTAAAAGCATTATAGCACCTCACAAAAGATAGTATGATAATTGTTGCAATAATAGATATTGCCACTCATTTTACAAAACTAGTGAACTTTTCTATTAAGAATTAAGAATTTGTATAAATCCATAAATTTTTCATTTATTTTTTTAAAAATACTATTGACTATATTACAATGTAGTATTTGTTCATACATACTTTCTCAATCTACTGAAGCACAAAGAGTCAATGCCCCTACGCTGAGGTTTGAACCTAAGACATCTCATTTGAGGGGCCACAGTTATGTCGCTCGACCACAAGGCCTTTGGCAAATCCATAAATTCATAAGTTCAAGAATTTAAACATTAAGGGTAACAATATATTCATAAATATTAGGCAAATTAATATGAAAAGGGGAAATTTTCAAAATTTGTTAAAAACTTAAATTTTTTTAAAAAACTGAAAAATAAATAAATATTTATATAGACTAAAAGATGCCAGTCAAATTCCTCAACAATGAGCAAATGAGTGCAAAATTTAGTAGAACGCATATCGTTGTTGTCAAAGAGAAAACCACTGTCGGAGATCTACGATTTCTTGTGAAAAGAGCCACAAACGTAAGACTGTGAGAACAGAGTGAAAAATGGCAAATGAGAAGCTAGATGGGACTCACCAGGAAAATCATGGAGTGGCTGAGCGACTAGTGAACCACAACAAGGCAAAGAGGAAGAGAGGAGGAATCGCGACGACTCAGCGAGTCGGCAACCATGTGAGATGTGAGAGGCCGGAGGCAGAGTCAACAACGGAGACTGGAGGCGGAGTAACCAACGATCCAACGTAGACCGGAGGCGGAGTCAACAACGGAGACCGGAGAAGCCGAAAAGGTTTCTCGTATCTTGGTGAAGCGGTGTCGTTGTGAAGCCTGTGATGGGGTGAGACGTGGCTCGTGAGAAATAGTTGTTAGGAAATGCAGCACTGTGGAATTCTGGGCGTGTCTAGTTTGGAACGAAAAAGGGTAAATGTTCTGTATCGTGTATGAAACACTAACTTAAAAGCAATTATGACCAGGGATTGAGTCGCATGCTCTCGACAGGCACAACAGAACGAACAGGCTAGCTCTCTGTTAACTCGCAGGCAATATTAACGAAGCAGTTGGCTGGCAGTATGGTTTTTGTACTGTTTTGGCGTGAAAAGAAGAACCAAGGCAGCAGGTTTATATAGTAGAGTGTTGTAACAGCCCACCTCTCACCATCCACTATTGTAGGGCTATAAACTAGCAAAGGACCAACTCTGCACACTCATTCATTGAGTTGTGCGGACAAGGTCACAAGATGGTAGCAAAACGTTGACCCCACCACACCCCGTGCCGGGCGGGCGATGGCGGGCGCGCGCGTGGTTTACCTCCTTTCCCTTCTCATAACACTTCAAACTATCTCAAAAGGCTTGGAGTATATAAGTAGGGAAAGAAGAGGTTATTCTACCAATGTGGGACAACTTGGGTAAGCTATAAAAAGCCTTTCCCTTTAAATACTCCCAATAATCCCCCACCATGAAAAGGGATTAGGCTGGTGCTAACATTTCCTGAGTACGAACAAAAGAAAATTTTCATGCCAGTGTATAATACTTGAACTGTCATATAGTGACATTAAGTACTTCTCTACGCGGGAGTGAATTAGATCTTGAACTCACCGAATAGACAAAGTTTGAACTTAAATGCACTTAATTTGCTCTAGTCGCCATGAATTATGTGTGGTCATACTCTTAACCCTGAATTATCCCCTGTTAGGTCTATTCCAGTATAGACCTTCAACTCTGTCAAGTCTACCTCAACGTAGACCACCATGGTTGGCTACAGAGCATGTGTAGGTTCTAGACCCATTTCCCTTGATGTATCAAGGATAGCCTTTCTATTTAGGCCCTTTGTGAAAGGATATGCAACATTCCTTTCAGATCTCACAAATACCATTGTGATCATCCCATTTATTATCAACTGCCGTACAGACTCATGTCTGACTCTTGTGTGTCTATGTTTCCCATTGTAGACACTGTTTTGCGCAACACAGATGGCAGTCTGGGAATCACAATGTATGGGAACAGCAGGTGCTGGGCACCCCCACAATGGCACGTCTGCCAAAAGATTTCTCAGCCATTCGGCTTCCTGACTTGCTAGATCTAGAGCTATGAACTCTGACTCTATAGTTGATCTGGCTATACAGGATTGTTTGGTTGACTTCCATGATATCGCGGCTCCGCACATAGTGAACATATATCCACTAGTCGAGCTTACATCATCAGTTCGTTTACCCAGTTTGCATCACAGAACCCTTCGAGCACAGCTGGGTTTCCCTTATAGTTAAGGCCCCAGTCTATCGTGCCTCTTAGGTATTGAAGTACCCTTCTCAGTGTATCCCAATGTGGGATACCAGGGTTGTGAGCATACCAACTGAGTTTATTCACAGCAAATGCAAGATCTGGTCTAGTATAGTTCATCAAGAATATTAGACTCCCAATTATCTTTGCATATTCTTCTTGAGACACACTGGCCTCTATGTTCTTTGACAATTTAATGTTAGGATATAGGGGGTTTTCGCCGGAGTTACATCATAACTCTCAAACCTCTTCAGGAGCTTCTCCATGTAATGACTTTGAGATAAAAGGTAACCTTTCTCGGTTTTTGTAACCTTTATCCCAAGTATTACATCAGCCTCTCCAAGATCCTTCATATCAAACTTGTCACATGGAGTTCTTTTAGTCTCTTTTATAGCTCCTATACTTGAGCTAAAGATTAGCATGTCATCTACATAGAGACGGATTATTACGATGCTAGACTCTACCTCTTTTGTGTATAAGCAGGCATCTGAGCGGTTTGTGGAATAACCTAGCTCTAACAAAGTTTTATGAAACGTTTTATACCACTGCTTAGGGGCTCGTTTCAAGCCATAAAGAGATCTTTTAAGTCTGCATACCTTTCCTTCTTATCCCTGATCAACACATCCGGGGGGTTGTTCCATGAAGATCTCCTCTTCTAGTTCACCATTGAGGAAAGCCGTTTTCACATCCATTTGATGTACTATCAACCTGTGTAAAGATGCTAAAGCAAATAGAACACGTATGGTAGCTATCTTTGTTACTGGTGAATAGGTATAGAAGTAATCTTCACCGAACTTCTGTGTGTACCCTTTAGCTACCAGTCTGGCTTTTAATCTTTCAATTGAGCCATCTGGTTTCAATTTCCTCTTGAAAATCCATTTACAGCCTATGGGTTTACAACCCTTAGGAAGGTCCACTATTTCCCACGTATGATTAGACTGTATAGAGTCTAACTCACTTTTAGCTGCTTCTCTCTATAGAGTAGTGTCTACTAAGCGCATAGCTTCTTGAATGAATTTTGGGTCTTCTTCTAACACAAGTTGACATATAAAATGATCACAAAGTTCATTTAGATCTTTCAATTCCGTCATATATGTTATGAAGTCAGAGCCAAAGTTTTTCTCAATTCCAGGCCTTTTGCTTCTTCTAGGCTCTTCTGAATTACATGAGAAAATAGGGAAAGAAAGATTTTGTTGAACTTTATTAGCATCTAGTTCAATAGCACCCTTCAACGGAAACACGTGTTCAAAGAAAACTGCATCTCTAGATTCACAGATTGTACGGTTTTCTAAACACATAAATCTATATGCAGCACTATTTTCAGCATACCCAACAAATACGGCATCTAAGGTTTTAGGTCCCAAGTTGGGCTTTTTAAAGGATTGGAGTCCCACCTTTGCCAAGCAGCCCCATACTTTAAAGTATTTAAGATTAGGTGCATGCCCTTTCCACAATTCATAAGGGGTTTTTTCAAACCCTTTGTGCAAGACCCTGTTTAGAATGTGGTTTGCTATTAGAACAACTTCCCCCCACAACGAGTCAGAAGCACCTGAACTGATCAGCATAGCGTTGATCATCTCTTTGAGAGTTCTATTCTTTCTTTCTGCTATGCCGTTTTGTTGGGGTGTGTAGGGTGCAGTTACTTCGTGTATAATGCCAGAAGATTCACACAGATCTTTCAGGAAATTTGATTCATACTCTCCTCCTCTATCGGATCTAAATCTTTTGATCCTTTTTTCCAACTGATTTTCTACTTAATTTTTTAAAAACAACAAATTTTTGTTCGACTTCACTTTTTGATTTCAATAAGTATAATTTTGTATATCGGGAGAAATCATCAATAAACGTTATATAGTAACGCTTACCACCTCGAATTTCAGTGGTCTTAAAGTCTGCTAAATCAGTGTGAATCAATTCTAGTAACGATGAAGTACGATGTTTTACAGTTGAAAAAGATGTTCTAGCAAATTTTGCCTCAGCGCATGTTTCACATTGTTCACATGTATCATTAGACAAGTTTGGCAGCATATTCACGTTTTTCAGTCTATTTAAACATTTTGTACCAACATGTCCTAATCTAGCATGCCAAACATTAACTGATACAGTAATATAAGCAGAATAAGCATTCTTATTATCATGAGCAGTCAGAGAAGATCCAGATACATCAGAGTGATTTTTAACTATAGAGACATCTACTACAAAAAGACCTCCACGCAGATATCTCTTCCCAATGAACTTCTCACAACGAGTCATAACCAGACGGTCAGACTCAAAAACCATCTTAATTCCAGCCTTATTTAGAAGGCCTCCGAAAATCAGGTTTCTTCGAAGGGAAGGGACTTAAAGAACATTTTGCAACAATAAATGTTTTCCAGAACAAAGCAGTAATTCTACTTTTCCTCTACCACTTACCTCGGAAACGCTGGAGTTCCCCATGAAGACTTGTTCTCCACCAGTGATAGGCTCAAAAGTTTTGAATGAAGCTTTGTTATTGCAAAAGTGTTGTGAAGCTCCAGTGTCCACAACCCATTCGTCTTGATTTTCTACCACGTTGGCCTCAGTTATTACTGCAGCTACTAAGTCAGTATCTTCTGTGTTCTCCGTGAGGTTAGCTTGGTTCTTCGGCCTCTCGTTGTTTGGCTTCTGACCATTCTGGCTCGCGGACCCTTTTCGATGATAGCACTGGGCAGCACGGTGGCCTCGTTTACCACATACATAACATTCACCAGTATTCTTCCCTTTTTTTTCTGAATTTTCCCGCCCTTGCCGCGATTGGAACTGTTATTCTTATAATTTTTCTTTTGGTTTCTAGAATTGTCACCAGTTTTTGACTTGTCAAAGCTAGAGTTAGTCTCAACAATATTAGCTTTAACATTGTCAGTAAGAATAACAGACCTTTGAACTGTTTCTTCCTCGATATTCACGCTATTTATCAACTGTTGTAGTGTGTAGCTCCTTCGGTCATGTTTCATTTTGTTCTTGAAGTCCACCCATGAGTCGGACAATTTGTCAATCAAGGAGTCACATAGAACAACTTCATTAACTATTCCACCTTCTGCTTTCATGTCACCGACCAGATTCTCAAACTCGTGTACCTGTTCGATTACAGGTTTGGTGTCCACCATTTTAAAGTGTAACCAACGACCCACGGCATATTTGCGTCTCCTCACATCATCAGCACCATATTTCTCAATCATTAAATCCCAAATTACTTTTGCAGATTTGTATTCAGAAAACATATCAAACAATGGGTCACTTACACGTTGGAGAATGGTTTTCCGGGTAGTCTTGTTATCTTTCTCGTATTTGATGCGAACTGCCTCGGATGCTGATGAAGCTTGCGCTGATGATGACTTTGGGTCCTTGGATGCATCTGTAGACTTCGGGTCTGTTGATGCAGCTGAAGCCGTGGTCTGCAAAGCAGGTTGTGTAGCAGCCACGTTAAACTTCATAGGGTCTTCAAAAAGGACGTAATCTACATCCTTCATTCCAGGAGCATGATCATTTTTGCAGCCCATCTCTTGTAGTTTAAACCACCAGTGAGTGGTTGAACTGGAGTAACATCAGACACAGTGTTTTCTATTTCCGACATTTTTTTACTCGACTTGGTGATAAATGCATTTAATTGTTAGGAAATGCAGCACTGTGGAATTCTGGCGTGCCTAGTTTGGAACGAAAAAGGGTAAATGTTCTGTATCGTGTATGAAACACTACCTTAAAAGCATTTACGACCAGGGATTGAGTCGCATGCTCTCGATAGGCACAACAGAACGAATAGGCTAGCTCCCTGTTAACTCGCAGGCAATATTAACGAAGCAGTTGGCTGGCAGTATGATTTTTGTACTGTTTTGGCGTGAAAAGAAGAACCAAGGCAGCAGGTTTATATAGTAAAGTGTTGTAACAGCCCACCTCTCACCATCCACTATTGTAGGGCTATAAACTAGCAAAGGACCAACTCTGCACACTTATTCATTGAGTTGTGCGGACAAGGTCACAAGATGATCCACAAAAATAGGGTGAGAAAATAGTTTTGGTAGCAAAACGTTGACCCACCACACCCCGAGCCGGGCGGGCGGCGGCGACAACGCGCGCGTTGTTTACCTCCTTTCCCTTCTCATAACACTTCAAACTATCTCAAAAGGCTTGGAGTATATAAGTAGAGAAAGAAGAGGTTATTCTACCAATGTGGGACAACTTGGGTAAGCTATAAAAAGCCTTTCCCTTTAAATGCTCCCAACAATAGTGAAACACTTAAACATAGAGAGAGAGATGAGGTTAGATGAGAGATTTGAGAGTAAAAATGGAAAGAGACTTGAGTGAATGAGAGATGAGAGGGTTTTAGGGCATGAGCCTTTAGGAGTGGCAAAGAGATGAGAGAATGAGAGTAATGAAGTATGAAATCCTACATACTAGTTTATATACATAGGTAATTCGGGTTTCGGGTCGAATCTGAATTTTAAGCATTGGACTCAAAACCCGAACCGATAATAGAAAATTTGTGTATGTAGTTTCACGGGCTCGACCCATCAATCTTCGAATCCGACCCGAATTGGGTCAAACAAGTTGAACCCATGGGTTTTTTGGGTCAAACCCGTGTTGTGCCCACCCCTACTGCCCAAGCGGCTGAGGGTCCTTTTCCTCATATTCGAGCCCCCAACTTAGCGAGTGGGAGGCATAAGTTTCTAAGTAGCGAGAACGTAGAAAGCTATATTCCCTTCCTAGGGATGACAACGGGGCGGGGACTATACTCCCCGTCCTCGTCCCCTTCCCTATCCCCGGCGGGGAATTGAAAATAGTTCACATCCCTGTCCCCGCGGGAAATTTGGCGGGGACGGGGATTCCCCATCCCCAATCAACTTTCAAAAATCTTAAATTTGTGTAATTTTTAATTTTAAAAACTAAAAATTTAAGTATTAATTTTTAATATATATATATATATATATAAAACTTATTTATTTATTTTAATTATAATAATTATTCCGGGACGGGACGGGACGGGGCGGGGCGGGGAGGGGTATCCCCGTCCTCATCCCTATCCCCGCCGGGGAATTTTAAAAATTTTCCGTCCCCGTCCCCATCCCCTACGGGGGCGAGGATCCCCAACAGGGACGGGGCACATTGCCGTCCCTATCCCTTCGTCACTCTTATCTCTCCAAAATCTCTCTAGCCTTTTAGATGGTCGGGCCTAGTTCAACGCCCGTAGGAAGTAGGAACCTAGGTAACGTAATTGAGAGACATCTGGATGACTGGATAGCTATGCACTTAAACTCCCTAAAAGCCCAGATTGCCCTCTGATTTACTCCCCTTATTTTTTTATTCCTTCAGTACTACGGGGTCCTTCCCTGTCAAATATGCCGGGACGCCCCATCGCATCCTGGCCTGTTTTCCTCAAATATGCACTTGGGACAGCATCCCATGCATC